CAGTGTATTTTCCACACAAATAATAAAAGTCACAATTCACAACGTTTATACGGCGTCTTTGAGAGTAAAAAAAAACTCCATTAAAATATAAAATATACATTTTAAAGGACTTTTTTCTACAAAAATACAATAAGGTAAAAAATAATTACTATGCAAAAAAAAAAAAGATATGATGTTGTAATCAAATAGTTTTCGCATTGGTTGTTATGGCTTACAATTTATTATGTTTTTATAATCTGTAAAGTTTGTTTAGTGGTTTTTTAAAATTAAAACCCCAACGCATTTCTTTCTCGTTATCAAAATATATATTTGATTTAATACACTTGCTCTGTATAGTTAATCGCAATGGTGGGGTATTTATGATAAAACAGTTGATAATAATACATTAGCACTTGCGGTTTATAGTTTTGTATTTAATGTACTTTTGCCTACGTTATAAAGTTGTTTTGATTAATCTTATGATGTCGATGTAAAACAATAAATTGTTTATCATCTAATAATTTTTGTGCTAACCGACCAAGTTCGAAATAAACATATTATTTTATAAGTTACAAAATGTAAACTTTAATAGATACAAATTTAATTAACACCGACGTATTGTTACATTAATTACTCGAGAATAGTTCTAAATTATATAAGTGACCCAAGTTGGGTTATTTCACTTTGTCAGTATATTATTTCAACGAAATGATATAAATATATAATATATAATATGAATTTCTCCGGCGACGGATTGACGACCCGTCCCGGAAGCGAATTCGTCAAGAGACCATCTCATGTTGGCAGCGTTGGGCCTTCATGGCCCGTTAAGCTACATAATGATTATTTCAACGAAACAGTCGGAGGGGTAATCTATTTGATGTGGATTTCGTTCAGTAATAATTGATGGTAAATTAACAAAAATGATTTTTAATAAACTAAAGAATTCGTATAGGACAAGCATTGAAAGGACGTATAAAAAAAAACTTGTGTATCTTTTGGCCTAAACAAAACACACGGTTTTACTGTGGAACATGGGCTATGACGCACGATTGGTACCTACTGCCTTAACAAATAGTGTGCGTTGGTTGAACTAATTATAACTGCTGTTTACAACGAATTCACATAGCAAACACGAGAGGTTGTAATTCAAAATACTAAAGTATGACTAAGTGCTCGCCGACGATCAAGAATGTCCCGATTGCTGTGGAATATTAATTTGAAAAACAATAAATGGCCAAGCAGCCATTCAAGTTCACTCGCTGTATTTACAATATTATATACTGCGAATACAACAGAACGAGAGCAGCGAGGTTTTTCTATAGAAACCGTTTTTTCCCTTAATGGAAATATGCCGGTGCATGTTTTCGCACAACAATAGACGAACTTTGAAATAATTAAAATTATTCATACAACAAAGGCCTAATAAAAAATTAAAAAAACAAATAAAAATTAATAATAATTTGTTTCTGATTAAAAAGTTACAATTGCAGTTGACATTGACGCATTAATCAATTATCATATTATTATATCAACACACATTTGTTTCTTAATTTTTTTAATTTTTTATTAATAGAATTTTGCTGAAATTAGGTCCACTTAATTATACTGTTTTAAGGTAGTTATACCGTTAACCGTAACCATTTTTTAATAGACATTTTTGTAGTTAATTAAGTGTAAGACTAATTGGATAATTTTGACCGGTCACGAAGCCGGATAAAAAAAAAACGGTGTTTGGATTTTATCAATTTATCTAAAACATTATTTGCCCTATCTGAGTCCGTGTAGTTATTAATAATAATTGTGTATTTTTAAATTTAAAAATTCGCGCACAGTTCTTTACTCGTTTTATAGTAAACACGCGTTGTGTTTAAACTTAAGACGCGCTTCTGTGTAGGCCAATCAAAATTAAAGAAGTCGAAAGCTCTTCTTTTTTTTATATTAATTTTAATACTGCTGCGGAACTCATTAATTAAAATCTCTGTTGATTAATACGAACCAATCGGTAATTGTATACGGTTATGATATTAAAAGAGCTATACATGCATTTTTTGTTTACCGAGTATTATAGTTTTTAATTATTAAAAAAGAACAGCTGTTGGTCGCCTGTAAATGAGTTAATAACTATTGTGGAATGAAAACAACAATAGGTACCTACGTGTTACACGTGCCTTGCAATACAATAGATATTAGACACCATAACTAAATGTTTAATACATTATTGTATAATATATAATGTTAAAAACAAATAAGAGATTTTGAAAAAAACAGGTATACGATACGGAATGTACATAATAAAATTGCGAATTGCAAACCAAACGAACTTAACGAAATACTTAAAACCAGACAACAACGAGTGTCGTCGTCGTCAAGTGGATTGCATATACGAATTCACTAATATTAAAGTCGAAAATACTTAAGTGCAATAAATGTGAAGTTTTTTTTTTTATTATGAGAATATTCGTACAAACGTCGAGTTTTTAATCTTTTGTCTTCGAGTACCTATTCGCGATTTGTCAGAGTATTTCCCGCAATTCTTATCGATGGTAAAGCCCAAACAAATAATTTTATTATCAGCTATACAGCGTCCAAGGCATCATCACCCATTATACAGAGTGTACTATAGATAATTAGGAATTTCGGTAAAGCTTTTTATTTAGAAACACAAACAGTGATAACCAAGTGTCTGTGTCGTGGAGAATGGAAAGCTCTATACTTTGCAATCGATTTGAACTTAATCATTTGATATTCAAAACTAATATCCGTGTAACCGTCCGTTGAGAATATTATAAACTAAACTAACGGTCAAGTGATTTTTCGTTAAGCTGTAAATTCTAAAACTTGTATAGCTTGCAAGTAAAAGCTCTATGTTATAAGATTTATTCAAAATTTACCTATATAAAAAATACTTATGTTTATAAACAATAGTGAACATGTTGTTAAAATATTTTACTAGTAATTATTTTTAATTTATGTTAACACTTTCGCGATATTTTACAAAATATAATTATAGCTTTTTATGTATCATTTTTTTGAATAATACAGCTACAAAATAACTCACTTATCGAGGGGATAACGCACGACAAATATACCATTAAAAAAACCCTAGAATACCTAATTAGGGTAAATTGATTTTTTTGTTATTCTGCTGCTCTCGTTTTTGTCGCGTTTAGTCAAAATGTTCACGAGGTGAAATGTATATACATAGACATTATGTTATACCGTATATCTATTTATGTACACTTATTTTTTTTAGGCTTAATTTTATATGCATAACGATTGTCAATTTAAAAAAAAAAAAAAAGTAAAAACTGGACCTTTTGTTTAACTTGTAATTATAAACCCTCTTGTGACTCTATGACGGCGGTTGTTTGTTGAGTAATGACGTTCACTGTGTACCGTCATTTATATTTTAAGTCTGATCGCTATTCATCGATCATCATCGAGTATCCAAACTCGGTGCCTAACGAGCGGGGTCTAAGTACAATACACGGAAGACTCGACCGGATAGTTTGAAGCCCCATAATCATTATATTTTAATTAGTTTGATGAACACCGTGCACGTTCAATTGGTGGTGATTAAAAACGACCTTTTTGTGATTATACTTTTAATCGTTTTACGCTTGTCTAAGTACACACACTGCCAGCCCAACCATATAGGCATAAACATGACGTTTTGTATATAGAATCGATTTTGTTTTGAAAATTAAATAAAACTAAATTTATTAATTACACCGAGTCTCCTTTGATCGCATTATAAATATAATTTCAAACGCGGTCTTGAGACTTAGACGTGCGACCGACTGATATATTAATATACACAATGACATTCGTGCCATCATAAATAATATGTTGTTTTTATACATTTTGTTTTATTTATTGTTTATTGAGAGGCGTATACAATCTGTACAGTCCAAAACACAATAATTATATGTGATAATATAACACAATAGCACTGTGGTACAATTATTGTCACCCATTAGTGACGGCTATAATTTTCTTATCAATTAAAATGTAATTCTTGTACGGCAATGTAATTATTAAAGAATCGCATAAACCTTGTTCAAAAGAGCCTAAAGATAATCCGGTGTATTATATCAAAAGATACACAACGGTACAATAGTATAAAGAATATATTTTTTCGAGTACGAGGAAAAAACATCAGTCAATAGATTTAGGTCACGTGCCTGATGAGCAGACGATATTGTACGTTTACAATAAAAATACGAGACCCTTTTTGTACGAAAAAGTTGGTAGATAGCTACATTCATTTAGACTTGACAGATGACAGATTTCATATTATTACAGGGAAAAAAATCCAAGCATGATGAGAACTTTTGTTTTATCGAATGTTTATTAACATTGTCATATACATTGAGGTTATTAGCATATTCTGTATATTTTATTCTGTAAAATGTGCAAAATATAAAAACAGTTTTTAATATTAAAGTTTAAACATTTGAGTACAGGTTTTATTATTATTTGGTATCATTTTCATTTGCATATTGTATTTTAATAATAAAATATTTGTCATTTTGCTTTGTAATATTAAAAAATATGTTTAAATGGATCGATAAGGTATATAAAATTGTATGAAACTGATATATTTTTTAGCATGCGAAAAACTCAGTGAGAAAACATTGAAACTATAGTTCAAGTAGCAATTTATACTTTTCAGGTTAAAAAAAAAAAAAGGTTGGGACTTATGGATATTAATTTTGACCGACGGTACCTTTTTAGTTTAAAGGTTTTTCTTTTATATAAATCACGTGTTCAAAAGCGTTTAAAGTTTTAAAGTGTTAACATTCAGTTTACGGTCTAATATTATGATATTGAAGTGCTAGAAAATTTTTTTTTTTTTTTTAAAAACTGTTGATAATTTTGTTCTTATTTACGGTATTATTATTATATGCGGTTGAGTGTAGAGTGCCTACTTTGATAATATTTTTCTCTAGAATAACATTTGAATAAATTATCTGGATCACAGGTTTCAATTATAATTAATAATTTAAATAGCTTACCGTTTCTGGTGGACGCGATGAACACCTTGACCAGCCTTGGTATAGCCCATTTGGCCGTATCCAACTCGCCCCTGAACACTCTTTGCACTTCTTCCTCGTTGTTCATATCTGTGCATCCATATCTGTAATCGAAACAAACAACCTGTGATTACCGACATGACGTGATTACTGCGGTGTATTTGTTTTTACTAAGAGTCGCACGTGATAAGATAATATTATTTAGGCACGACAACACTTGTGGCCGCCACAACAGCAACTATAGTTGATATTAATTAACAAAACGCGTGTGCAACTCATTGTTTATACTGTCATATTATAAACACAGTTTTAAGCCGACCCGACACGATTCACTGTGGATTATGAACGAAAGTTGGGCCATGATCGTGTATCAGAATCATCCAAAATATATCATCCATAGTGACCTTTTGTCGGTAGACTTTTTCCATACTTATTTTAATATACTACACAGTGTTTACTACTGAACACATGAAAATTTACCCGTCCAATTTTAATACGTACTGATAAATAATAACTTTAAGCATTTCTCTTGATAAAAAAAAATATAAAGTAAAACTAAAAACAACAATAGTTACAGTAATATGTGAATTATAATTATTTGATATGTTATTCATGAAAATGTAATGTTTATATTTGTGAATACAGGATTTACACGTCTTTTTGTATTAATTTTAATATTAGTGACATTTTCGAAGATTCAACAAAAAAAAAAAAACTTATTTTATGCACCAATTATGTATGATAAAAATAATAAAAAGAAATACATGTTGTATAAAATATAAAAGGAGGAAAGGGGGTGTTTGTGGTAAAGCCTCCCGCAAACTTCTAAGTAGCTTTAGGCTTTCTTCTATATATATTTTTCCGGCAACAAAAATTTAGCCAATCCGCCTCTGGCGAAGACGTCCAAGTCGTCGGGGGCCTTTGAACTTCAAACAAACTTGTATTTTAATGAAGGAAAAGTGTTTTTGTACTCAACGCCTTTACTTCCATGCGAGTGAACGTTATAACCACCGTAAAACCGAGTCGGTGGCTTTTTATATTCAAATTTGCTTCCATATACTTTCAAACATTATGCGCGTGTATATTTAAGTTTATACGACTTTACCGTTATATGTATATATACCTGTTTACATTATGTAATCACTAAAGAGAACAAGTTATTTTACAAGCTATTTCTAGTAGACTTCTGCAGTAGTTCAAATTCAATTTAGGTACATTGTACATTATGTAATGCGAATGTACACGTTTTTTTCTACAATGATTTCTAAATGATTGTACGACACGGTTGACATAATATGATTAACGTGGATGTAGTTTTTATTGTTTCTACATAGATGGCCGTTAATCACGATTTAGTTATTTGGCCCAATTCACTGTTACTCATCGTCTGACTGCGAACATTTGCAACGTTGGTAAAAAGCTAATGGGCAAGTGTGTTGGAAAAATGTACGGCGCCCCCCGTCTATAAATGGCCACTAGAAACTTTTTTTTTTTTAGTGACGTGGCTGCTGCCAAAGTTTGTCGATTTAAGAATTCAGATGGTATTGTATTTAGCGGCAACGACAGGAAACCGTTTAAGACATTCGCCAACGCCCGAAAACAAGTTTGATTTTAGCCCCTCAATGTGTTAGTTGAACGAAAAAGGTTTCACAAAGATAAAAAACGTGTACTCGACAATAATTTAGGCTGCAAGTTTCACGCCGAATGAAAAAATTTAAAAAAAACGTTCGAAATTAACTATTTAAAACAGTATTCTTTTCGGCGCCGAATTGTTCTTTTGTAACAATATTGTGACTCGGGAAAAGTTAACTTCTTTTATGGCTTTTTTTTCCTCACCGGACAAGAAATACATTTTAAAGAAAATTAAAACATCCGAAACGGTATACGCCTTAGTGAGCTTAATACTACAACGTGGGTTATGACCAGACATAAAATCGCTGTAGGAGTAAGTACTAAAATATATAAACCTTTATTGCCGCGTGCTATTCAAATAACGGCACGGTAGAATTCATTGATTTAGTCGGAACAACAATAAAAAAAAATAAATATACGTGCAATGTTGTGTATTATGTCTTAAACCGTAGCATATATATATATATAATGCTGTGGTAAGCCCAGGCTTGACCCTTTATTAAAATTTGACCCTATAGTCAATTAATTAATTGAAATGTCGAACAACGCTATAGCGTATTATAATATTAAATAATTGATTAAAATGTATTTGAAATATTACCTAGACGTACACGGAACGTTGGCGATCATAAATATCGCGTACTTGCCCATAATATAAATATATATATTTATGTGTATGCATAAACTATAAATATTGACATAACCTTACTTGACCTAGACCCTCGTAATGGGTTATGTGCTTGGAAATTTACCAAAAACCAATTTACTTACAGTTTTTTTTTTTTTTATAAGTCTGTACGACCAAAAACGTATTGGTCGACCAAAACTATTATAAACCGTTAACATGATGTAAAGTATGTAAAACGTATGAAGGAGGGGAGGCGGGGGTCTCAAATTGCAATCCACGGTATTATAAGTTTTGCAGTTTCAGTCCCTAACAGGAACAACTCTCTCTCACTCTCTCTGTCTGTAATTATGTAATTAACGTATAAATTAACCAGCACAATGCACGTGTATTGATTGTGTCCTCGAGTACGACCCTTAGACCTGTTTATTGTAATAAGTCAGCATATTGTACAGCGGTCCTCTCTAGTCAAATTATTGTGAACGCTGTTGTATAATTTATGAGCTATTGAGATGAGTTTCGCGGTTGATGAAATTACTGATTATTCCATAAATTATCATAGTGAAAAAATTGTATGTAAATTTCTTAAATCCGCACTAGTTACCAGTTGGCGCCGCTTAGTCGTCGATCCGCGTCAATACAAATTACTTAAAATTACCAAGAGTTTGTTATTTGACTTAAAAATAGTATTTTCTGTTTAAACAAATATTAAAACCGTCCAGTCGTAACGATCGACTTTACACCGTCTCCGTCGTGCGTTGTGAATAATACCAGAAAATGTCTTTTATGATTTTGAAGTATTAATTTCCAAAACACCGGAACGCCTAAAAAATGTAAGGTCATCCTAAAATATGCTAATTAACGGTACTTAATGCAAGTTGTAGCGACAGTCGTTAAATGGTCGATTTTAACTTATATTTTAATGAGGAATTATGTTTAATCAACTTTATATAATTTGGTAGCACATTAGACAGAGTGATTTAAAAAAAAACTATATTATCAGCTCTTAATTGTGTATAATGCCAAAAAAACATAGAAAGATTGTCTTGAATCTGTTTTTTGAAAACTTTATTTGTATTGTCATAATAATGTATTTAGTCAACAATATTTGTTATAATACTACAATATTTTGTTTGTATTGATTTCTTAACTAACTAACGTTCGACTGAGTGTTGTGTGAAAAACAACAAACAAGTTGTACAGTTCTAATAGATCATATATATATATATATATATATATATATTTGTATATGTGTGTGTGTTTTCTTCGGATATAGGACATCTTTTGAGACGCTTTAAGTGGATTAACTTGCATGTCTTGTTTACCGATGTCGTACTAAACCATTGTTTGCTAACTGCACAAATATTTACTTGAATCGTGAGATCTTTACCAAAGCAGTTATGGTTTTTGTTTCCGAGTAGTAGGCTCGTGATATTATTAATGTTGTAAGCCGTCGCTGATTTTAGATGTTGTACAAGAAAAAAAAAATATGATTTGCCCGTTTTAGCTTAACCTATATTACGCATTAATCAATTTTTCGCACAATATTGCATTATTTTATTATTACAGAAGACCCGCAGACTATTTTTATGATTTCAAGCCATGTACAATAGAAAAACGATCGACCATAGTGACTTAATACATTTGGCATTTGACGAAAATGGTCAGTTTCGGTCGTCCGGTCAATTATAGCAGAGTATAACTATTATAATAATAGTCAACAATAAAACGGTTTACAGTTTACCTTTTTTTTTTATTTTGTACAAATATGTTAACGCACGTTTTTAATTTATTATTATCAAAAAAGATTCCATGAGACGAGTTGACTTAAATTATTATCTCTCTTGTTGTATATAAAAAAAAATGTATCTTTTATTTTTATAGGAGTACATTTTTTATGCCTTTAGAGTCTTTACTATATTATTTAGAATTTCAAATCCATAGTTGCTGCGGATGACAGTTTAAAACAAAATATTATTTACTTTCTTCTTTTCTTGAAAATTTAAGATAAAAAAAAATTATAACGAGCCAACTTTATCGTAGAGTTTATAGAAAGTAATGAGATTTTTGCAAAATATATGAACTAAAAATTGTGTTTCCCATTAAAAGCGCATTGGTGTAAGTTTGCTATTATTTGATATGTTTGTGTGATCAATAATATAGTTTTTTTTTTAATGGCCGTATCGATTTTATTTATTTACAACTCTTGAATAAAGTTTCTCGTATTATATTAGTGTTTTCTTTTCAGCCTTGGGGTAAAATTGTACGCTATTGTACGTTGGTAAAAAATAATGAAAAAATAAAAAATGTATAATAAACTCTGTGACCCGTTCACAGCTACCGCCCGTGAAAACTGACTCGAACGTGCGAGCAAGCGAGTAGATGTATTATATATATTATTCATTTTAACCTTTCCAGTTCTATTATGGTGTACATAATTAAATTTTATACGTACCCACATAAAGGTGTAGTAGTAGTTCACAGACAACGGTCGGAGCCATATTATAAAAAGTAATAATTATCTCGGGCCAAAACGAGCGAGTCAACGGCGCCCGTTTGTTAAATCCTCAAAAGTTATGTAGGTGCCTAATAATGTTATTATAATTCTGTGGTGTTCGGACAAAAGAGGATAAGTTCTCAAACTTGATTTAATTTCCTCGCGTCTATACTATTGTATTTTATTTGCCTTTCAGTTCATTGTTCACTTATAATATACATAAATATGACAACTAGATGGCCTACCTAAGTTGTATACAATTGAACTGTTATTGTCAAAAACTTAACCGAAACACAGCACTTTGGACTTATCCTCATATTATCATGCCTGTATAATATAATGATTAATAC